ACCATTGAGACACCCATCTACAGCATCCCCAAAATTCTCAACTTTTTCAAACAAAGCACAGACTGAATGTAGAGATAAAAGTTTATTTCATGAAAAAAAAAAAATCAGTAAAGTTTTTAAAAATTTGCACAAATTACAATAAATATCAAAAACTTAAAATCAAATCTAGAGCTGAAATAAAGGCCACATTACAATTACACAAAGGCATTCAAGAAATGTAAAATAATCTTCAAGTTCAATGTTGATTACAAAGTCCTGAAACGCAAAGCAATATTTTCACAAAGTCTTTAAGTTACAAAATAATTCTTGACATGTCAAATTCACACAATGCAATATTTGACATCTCTCCAACCCACATGGTTTACAAAGTCTTCAAACAACAAAATAATTTTTGAAATGTCAAATCCATACAATGCTATATGTGACATTTGTCCATGACCACATAGTTTGAAGCCTTGGAACTAAAAGTTAATGATGTGTCACATTCACACAATGCAATGTTTGACATCTGTCCAATCACAGTAAAATAAAGGCAATATTTATTATATGGGAGCCACCATCTTGAATAAGGCATGAAACTAAACAACTTCAAGTTGTGAAAAGCTTTTTTCAGTTTCCTACAAATCAAAAAAAAAAGTACCAAACTATCAGTCAAAAGATCCATTGTTGTAATTAACCCAACCATTAACAAAATTCATCCAAATTCGTCGTTTTTATGTGGAAAAATCCCTTGCATACACCTAATTATAGAAAGAACACTTTCCTGGATTACTTGAAACCAAAATTGTCATCTAACAGTAAAGCCATTGCTGATTGGCTTCGGAGTTGAATGATGATTGTGGTTCTAACACTTGGGAAAGTGTTCTAGGTTCTAAGTGTAATTAGGTGTTTGTATGCAAGGGATTTTTCCGAAAAAAAACACAAAAAATTCAGCCAAATTTGATCAGCGATTGGCTTAATCTTACCCCAATGAATTGTTTAGCTGTGAAAGTTTGTTTTTTCCATACAAAACACCCAAAAGGTCTATTCAGCAAAAATTAATTCCAGCTAAAATTAAGTATTTTACAGTATTTGAAGGAAAGTGCAAGCTATAAACAGGACTATTTTGTGAATCTGTGGTGAAAAAGTTTAAGTACTACAATGTTGTAATATCCCTTCCATCTAAAGAGACATTTTCCAACACTTTGCAGCAAAAAAACTTGATGCATTCTTTAGCAGTCACGTTCATAAAATTAAGTCCTTGAGAGAATTTCTCCCCCCCACACACACACACACACAATGCACTATGACCTGGAATGTACGAGTGGAAAGAGGAAAAATCTGATTGGCATCTAATTCACATGATGTCGTACTCAATGAGCCAATCACCAATGAGCTTTGTGCGTACATTACATTTTACCAATTGGTCACTCTCCACATTTGAAGAAGGAAAAACAATACTTATTCCATATTGTTATCTTTTCTCAGTTTAAAATTTCACTCTGAAATCATGGATTTATTACAGTATGTGATATTTGCCTGTATGAAATTGTGTAAATTGCCGACAAATGTGCATTAAACATCTAGTTTTTCAATGGTTTGCAGTGCATCAGAATGTAAGCGATTGTTGAAATTTTATGTCTAGAAGCTTTTAAATAGATTGACAATGGCTTACAGTACTCGCAAACGCAGGCCAATTCATAAAATTCTCAAACATTTCTCTGAACTCGTACATGTTTTTGTCATTACGTATATCACACAACAGACCCCGCCCCCAAAAAAGAATGATCTCAGAGTGCAATATGGATATGTTTTCCAGAATTGTTGATATACACACATGATAATGGTTTATTCTTAACTTGCTTGCGACTTAGAACATAACCAAACATGTACTGCATTTCACGAACAGAAACCGTGTTTTGCATACATTACATGATAAATCATACACCCGAAAGCACACCAACCAACATAAAATACTTAAAATTATACATATTGCTTCAAGTTCAACGTCAAAGCAACAATACAAAGCATTTTAAACCACGTCAATGTTGACAGTAAAAAATTATTATTCATAAAACCTGAAAATCTTGAAAGGATACACCAACCCCGCGTATACCATGTTGAAAACTATAGACTATTAAAAAAATGTCTATGAAATCAAGTCAATTGTAGTATAAATAATTTATACTCCATGATGCATATCACGCATTTTAACTACAATTGGATACCTAAAAATGATGACAAATATTCATGAAGTTTTAAATCCTCACGAGACACCATCATCAGAACTACCCAAGCATGGACTATTGCATGCCTTCACTTTCACTCTATCTTGATACGCTTCAGAACAGGAACAAACACAACCAGGGTATTTAAGTGATCCAGTAAAGCCTGTATGACAATGCTGGTGACTCTTGCAAAAGCTCAGATGGATTTTATTATCCATTGATGTACCTCAGTAATTCATGTATATCATCTAAGAGACGTGTTACAAAAATCTCGCGCTTTGAATATGTGCTCTTGTGCAAGATCATTTGCCTTTCTAATGTTACATTTGGCAAAAACACCCATAATCATTCACAGCATATCATGCTGGTAATGATTGAAACGTCTCACAGCATATCTGGTAAGGTATCTTCACAATGAGCCATGCCATTATGACAAAAAATAAGCATCTGCATTTACCAGCCCATTAACAGTGGTTTCAGTGTTAACATTCAAGTTGAGCAGGACTTGCCACACTTACGTTATAATGACCACATCTTTACATGATAGAGGTCAAAAAAAAATTTAATTTCAAAATTTAAAAATAAAACAAATTAATTCCCAAATACTTAAACAATTTGTATGAAATAAAAATTATTTTATGCTTTAAAAATGAAATAACTTAATATTAAATTTAATATCATTATACAAGTAATGGGTGC